TTTTGCCATTGATTTCAATGCTAATATTTTTCACTTTTCATGTTTCCGCATTAAGCCCGAATCACACTAGCGGCTCGCGGCTGCGATTGCGATTGCGTTTGTGATTGTGATTTGCTACGCTCCAATCATACTTGCAATTGGTGCTTTCTGATTGGCTGAGGCAATCGCAATCGCAGCCGCGAGCCGCTAGTGTGATTCGGGCTTAATGCGGAAACATGAAAAGTGAAAAATATTAGCATTGAAATCAATGGCAAAAATTTCACTTTCCCGCCCTAGGGGAAAAGTTACATGATCGATACTCTGGCGTATAGATTAAAGCCCGTATCAGACTACGCATTGAAGATTGAGATTAAAGATTAAAGATTGGAATTTGACCAAACAGGACAAAGAAATTTTAGTCCCTTTTGTTCTGATTAGTCAAATTCCAATCTTTAATCTTCAATCTTCAATTTTCAATGCGTAGTCTGATACGGGCATAAAGCCTATCGCACAATGCTAGGCGATAGCGATAGCGATTGGCTTTAAAGTGTTCTCTCTATATAAAGAGTGTAAACGGTGCAAATGCAAACGAAACGAGTAGACTTGTCGATAGCGGGAAAAACATTGATATTTGTTAGAAGCAATGTGTAAAAATCAATTTTCCAATAAGAATATTATGTGTTGTTATCTAAGACAAAATGGATAATAGTAACAAGAATTTGCACAACATCATAGACACGATCGTAAGTACTATGTACGGCGTATTTTTAAGTTTTAATCACAATGTGAATGTACGAGAATAGAGGTTAGTTCAAATTTTGATGTTAGAAATTGGTAGTTTTTTTAGCGAAAAAAAACCAACAATTTTTTCTTAACAATTTTAAAGTTTTCCTGTATGAAAGTGGTCTGGATAGAAAGCTTATTCGGGGCTGCGGGTATATATAGAATCTATAGCTGTCTTACAATTAGAAATATTCACGTGGTTACAAATTTTAGTGGAAGCGTGTCGATTTACCGGTACGCCACTAATGACTTTCGCTTTTTCTTTATTGCGTACTGGGAAGATTGATAACAGTCGCATGAAGACATTATTATAACTATACATTTCAGTTTCCGGCTTCTTTTGTATTCTTGTTTTCATCTTTATATGTACGCACTATAAAATTTAACGATCGCTATAAAATTTAATATATCTTCTAAGCTTTTTTTGCAATTTTTTTATAATTTTACATTTGATAAATGTAATTGAAATATAAATGGTAAATAACTTTACAATTCTAGGAAGATGATTATAAGGCAAAAAAAATGAAAGAATCAACTTTATTGTTGAAACAAAAAATGTGCAAGACGAAGTAAGTGTTTCTTTTTTTATGCCACTCTACATTTTTTTTTTTAATGATTTGATACATTATACAATCAATTTTTTGATGGAATTTGATAATCTTTGGTATGTTTCAGTGATTTAATTAAGCAATATATCGAAAAAGTGAGAGAATTTAATTGTTTGAAATCAGATTTGGAAGTTACAAAGAAGGATGCAAATTATATGAAATCCAGATACAAATCTGTCACAGATGAGACAAGAAAACTAGAACTTGTAAATAATAATTTTTCCTAAATTAAATTACCATTAACATTCCCTTAAATTTTTTGTTAATAATAGCTTTTTATACTTTTATCTTTCAAGCTGGTATACAAAGATATTATTTAAATATAGAATATAGAATTAATATATTAAGTGCAAGAGACAAGAACAATAATAATTTTTTAAAGAGCTTAGCTGAAATATTCTTGAGATATTTTGATGATAATATAATGGAATATTCTTGAGATATTTTGATGATAATGTAATTGTTTATTCATGAATACACAAATCTCGAGTTTCCAGCTTGAATGGTAAACATTGCTTATGTCACATTTGTACTTTAACTAATACATTCCAATTTGATCTGAGAAAGAATCACGTATGTTTTATATATTAATATATGCATCTTACAATCTTTAGCAAATTGTAGACGATAAATTGAAAAATGAAAAGTTATCAAACAAGACAAAGGAATATGAGGTAAATATAGCTGCAGATAAGCAAACTATACAACAATTAACGTGTAGAATAAAAGAGTTGGAAGATGAGTGTTCTACTAAAATTATGGAGTATGATCTGCAAAAGTCATCTTTCAAAGGTAGAACAACAAGTTAAATGTTTCTTATATTTATTTCTCATATATTATATAATCAATATATGGAGGAATAATTATATTTATATTTATACCTTCAATAATATACTAATATTCATATTTTTCTTCCTTTATAAGATAAAATTAAACATTTGGAACATGAATTGCAAAAATTAAAAGTGATGCACAAAAGAAAGGAGAAAAAAGTTATTTCCAACAATTCTGATACTGCTAAATTAAGTTTGGGTAAGTATAAGACTAAAAGCAAACAATTTCTTATTGCTGTATGCCCAAAATGTGGATTAATATTGACAGAGACAAAATCTAGTTCGGATATTGGTATCAATGTATTATTACGTGATGATAATGGACTAAATGCAAAACCTGAGGTACAAGAAAAAAGCATCATGACTGATGAATTTTATAATATCAAAGATGATCTGTATCCATTATTTTGTGCAAAATGTGAATCTCATTTGCCTTTAGCCCTAACACCTGAAAAAATATGCAAAACAATGTGCACATATCCAGACTTGATAGAAAAAAATTTTTATCCACCATCAAAAGAAGTTCTTTTGTCCCCATGTTTAGTTCCTAGTAAGTAACATATGATATAACTATTTGATACAATGATAGATTATAACTAAACTAATTTATAGACTCATATATAAATATATATTGTATGTGTGTGTGTGTGTGCATATATTCTTTAATATTGTATAATATTGTATAATACTGTGTTATATTATATACATATCCTTCTTAATATTTTTAATTTTTAGATACATATCCAGATTCTACAAATAGAAATGAAGATGTTCTCTCTAGAGCATTATCTATGTCACATTCGAGCCCATGTAACCATTATAACGATTCAACAGTTAACAATCGGAAATCTCAATCGATATTTCACTCGATGTCTGCTACAATGCAAAATGAAAATGATGAATTAAAAAATACAAATATTACAACGCATACACCGATTGCAACTAAACCATCTAGTAATCTCAACTCAATTTCCAAAACATGTACTTTGTTTCAAAGTATGGATTGTGCGAGAGAGAATTTCTGTTCCAATGATTTATTAGCTAAGCATTCTTCATCTATTGAAGAGATAAGGAAGCAAATTCGATTATTAAAAGGTCAAATGAAAAAATTTAAAAGATTGAAAGAAAACCCAAATACTAATTCTTGTCATTGTATTATAAATCATAACGATAATACTTTGCTAAATTCGAATCTAGTTACCATAATTTGCAAAGGCATTGCAGAATATTACGATAAAAGGAAAAAGACTTGCTCTAAAAATGTGGGAAATATTGATTCAGAGAAAGATAAAAAGATAAAACTGAAAAGACGTCGATTGAACAAATATAATGAAGATAAAAATGTATCTGTGTGGAAAATTGAGAGCTTTGATGAGAGATATCTACAAGATACACTTTATAATAAATCTGAAGATACTATGAAAACGACTGCATGTGATATTTTACAATCTAAGCGTAAATTATGCATAAATAAGAGTAATGCAATATCGTATGTAAATGCGTCCAGTAAGTTCCGTAATGACATTGATGATTATGACAAAAGAAAGTTTATTTTCTGCAAAGAGAATGCATTGAATTCAGCAGAAAAGGCGATTGTTGAGGATGATCTAACGACATCGCATTTAAGTACTGACAAATTATATAATAGTATTGAAGAAATAAGCAATAATTCCTTAAGTGAAGATAATACGAAATTTGTCGATTTGGGGATGAAAGTTTCATCATGTAACAGTGATATTAGTATTGATGATGCTGATATAATTTCGAAAGAAAATAAAATAAAAAGAAAGAGTCAAAATAAAACGAAATATAGCGATCGTTTGTTTAAAAAAATTCGTAACTTAAAGAGAAAGGTGCAAACAAATTCACATGTAAATAAAGAAGAGAGTATTGAATTACACTCTGATTATCATAAACCAATAAAAAAGTTGCGGATTGCACATACTCCAAAAACATCAGTTCTCCAATGGAATACCGATCGAGAAGATTTTACACATTGCACTATAAAAAATATATCTAATTTAGAAGCATTTCAACAAAAGTATAATCAACGCTTAAATACACAAGTTCTGAAAGATAAGTTATTAACTGAGAATAAAGAAGATAGTACAATAAGCGAGAAATGTGATGAAAGAAGTGCTGAAAAATATAGTGAAACAAACAGTATTGATGATGAAAGATCTATCAGAAAAATACAAGAGAGAAACTTAGTCTCGACAAATAGTGAAAGTTGTCTTCAAAATAACGACAATTTCACTCTGTCTGTTATGGATATTGAATGTGTATCTACAGTTTCGGAATTTGATAAATCTGATGATGTCTCCGTTGAAGATTCAAGCAAAGAAAGTATATCAGTGGAGGGAATAACGGTAGGAATGTCAAATAATTGCAATGAGCTTGATGTATCACATAATAATGTCCCAGACAACATAGCAAAAGATTTAAAGCTTGAAAAATCAATCTCACTAAAAACACAAGTCATTATCCAATCAGAAGCTAGTGGTCTCTGTAAAAATTCGAAATATGACACATATAAGTTTACTGAAAATTTACAAGCAAAATCGACCGATATTATTAAAAAAGGAATAACACCGAGTGTTGAATTGGAATACATTTGTAATACAACTAGAGACGAAAGTTGTGACAATCATGAGATACCGAAGAATATGGATACAAATGATGATTCAATGTCGAATCAATCGATTGGGATAGAAGCAACGGGACATGAAAATCGTAATAATCATAATATATCTAATGAAGTTTCTGAAATACAATATTTGCAGAGAGACAATGAAATCATTATTGAGAATTGTACATATGACAATGGTGTAGACGAATCTCTCAACAAAGTAAAAAATACATTAGGCAAGCAAGGAGAAGTGTATGCTAATGATAAAATAACTGAGATACAAACTATTGAAATTCAGAGAGAAAACCTGAATGAACAAAACAAAGAAACAAAATTTATCAACCATGTCCTCTATGATAATGTCGAACAATTTCAAACACCAATGTCTCAACTAACTACATATATTAACAGAAAATGTATCAACCGTAAGCTGTCACAGAAGAAGAAGACATATGATTGTACAATTACAGGTATTTAATAAATAAAGGAAGAAAGATATAATTACAAAATATATTTTAAGGAGACAATCCATCTTGAGGCACTTAAAACTAAATAATTCTTTGAAATTTCTTTTAGTAATGTTCAAAGTATGTATTAAATGTTTAAAAATGTAAAAATTTTATATGTATGGTTTATTAAACATGATATACATGTAAGCTCATTAGAAAAAAGGTAATCATTAATTTTTGAAAAAGAAAATAACGTGTTAAAAAAAAGCCCAAAATGTTTAAAATGATGATCATTTAATATTAAATTTCGTGTTCGTTTTAGATTGTTTTCTTAATTCATTTTTAATGAAATTAAATATTGATACATATTATACATGTATTACTTATATTTTAGACAGGTTTGTGAAGAAACAATTGAAAAGGCTTATAAATAGTGCCTGGGAAAATTCTGTACATTACGATGTAATACAAAAATTAGCAAACACATGTGGACCACGTATTATAGCCAAGTTAGTATAATATTTTGTAAACTTGTCGAATACATAACAATTAGAAGTGAAATTTTAAATATATTAAAAATATTAATACATTTGTTTGAATTACGCTGAATATATGGTTAATGTACACTTGATTTTTCAAATATTAAATTTGAAATTTTTCTCTATGTTACATATATGAATAAAGAGAAGAATAATATTTTTCCTCCAATTGTATTTTAGATGTATAGTTGAATTTTTGTTAGAGCATGTCGAACATGACGATGCTCTGGATAAATCATTCACTCCTCCAGCACCATTGATGGCAACATATGAGCAGAAAATTACAGCATTATTAATCGATTTAGAGGTGTCGAAACCAACGGTTCTTCACTTTGTACAAGTTGCTATTGAATATAAGCTATTCAACCTTTCTAGTGAAGTGAAGGTTTATATGTGTATTTGTTTAATATAGTATACATTTAACACAAATTAAACTACACTATACAAGGCGGCTCAGTAATCGTGATAATTGGCAAAGCGATGACTTTTCATGAACAAAATGCAAAAATTTTATTCAGTATTTTCTACTTATTTCTACACGAGAAATTGTCTATTGTATTACGATTATTAGGCCAACCTATAATAATAATAATAATAAAGCAACATTAATGTTTTCATATATACAGATGCGAGTTGGCTCACTCACGCGGATGTATCTCGTCCTGTCACGTATCCAGAAAGACAGAGAAAGAGTACGCATAATGTGCTGCAATGCTCTCTACTGCATGAATCTTATGTCGATAAATGTTTTATATACAGTACTTACATCTTGGCCTGAAGTACTTCCCAATGCTGAGATTAACAATGGTATTATATATTCCATAATATACGTGAAAAAAATGTTTAATGAAAGGAATCATTAAAAAGAGTGATAACAGATTCTAAGACATGTAATGGTTTCAACATTAATTGTAAAAATCGTTATGCATACAATTGCATGCAATTACTGTGATGTAAGTTGCAAATTTATGCTGAACATAGTTATCCAATTAGATATCCAATTTTTACAGAAATATTACCAACGTGCATAGCCTTTCTTATCGGCTCGCAACAAATCCAGGGTACACCATCAAAAAAATTATTAAAGAAATTACTTGCATTAAAGACATTAGTATCGACATTTTATAAATATGCTTATACTAAACAAGCAAGAGATGATATTGTTAAAGAGCTCATGACTCTTCTCAAAGGTAAGCATATTTTTCGCACCATATTTTTATAATTTATATAAATTGCTATATATATATATATATGTAATGTGTATGTATGTGCGTATGTGTGTATAAATATATATATTTGTTGTAGCTAAACGGACTAATGGTTTAGATACAGCCATTATACTTATTGCAAAAAGAGGAGGATCATCTTGGACATATAAAAATATCATTCAATCTGCTCTATTGCCAATGATTATCAACTATGAACATCCTTGTATATATAGCGCGTTTTCTCTACTTGGTATGTTCATTTTTTATTTATTATATTATGCTTTTGATGAAAATATTATATTTTACACATATTGACGTTATTTACATTATATACAGGGTGTCCCATAATATATGTCAACCAACTTCAGAAATGGATTTAGCACTTAAAAACAATTATAATACGTACAAAAATAGTGCTGAAATAGTACTAAATTCATCTTACGTATTACGGGACACCTTGCTTTGTATGTATATACATTATGTGTGTATGTGTGTGTATTTTTATTTATTTATTTATTTGTTTGTAGGAAAGCTTATGCGCGCATTTCCATTAGAAGATAAAGACAATATTGTGCAGGAGATTAGTGAACAGCTCTGTGATCTTATCCAGTCTGGCCAAGGTGATATATCCATTTTGCATCAAAAGCTAGTCTTCTTATATAACAATATATGTGTGTAATATATAACATGCATATAATTTTATCCATTTCTGTAAGTAGGTACACACGATCAACAAGAAGGCATAATATCTGCATTGCTCAGTCTTTCCAGACAGAAATTTGATGTTGTTGCACCGTCTATAATAAGGTGGGCGCCGGAAAAATCTTTAAGGCCAACTGTCATCACACAGTTACAAGCGTTTATAAATACACATAATCGAAAATTTTGGAAAAATTATTTACAGCGTATCGAATCAAAATAAAACATGTTATGCCAATTGTGTTAAACGACGAGATTGACATTTGTATCTTTCAATTATCATTGTAATCTGTTTTACAGCTAATTAGATAAAAATACAATGACAAACAAGATATCTTATGGACATGTTGCGCGATTATAATGCATGTTGTTTACAAATTGACGATACAGTCCATTCATTTTGTTTTAGCGAAATATATAAATAATGATTTAATTTTATTTTGCGCTTAATTTTATATATTATAAACTTTATTCGCGCGTATAATAAGTTTACATAAAATTTAGGTTTTCCTTTATTATTAGTTTACATACTAAAATATTTATTTTAAAAAATGTAGACAATATAACATTTTTTTCTAAATGCTCTTCGTGCTTCGCGCTGTTATAAAAATCACTAGCATTTTTAATTTATTTTGTGTTTGTAAAACTCGTTTCATATTTTGTTACGATATATATTGAAACGTTTCCTTGTGATTTATAGATATAAGATATTTTTCGCGTGTAAAAAAATACGTAAATATAAAATACATATTAGTAGACATTAATAGACATTATTTATTTTTCTCGAAATTTCTTTGCTAAAAATATACTAGAGATAAAATTATCTCTTCTTTCCAGTCATTGTAAGGTTTAAAAAAAATCTCAAAAATAATGTTTTCAAAGTTGCCAAGCTAAATAACAATTTAAATAGGCTCCGTAAATTAAGGCTCTTGATTCTCCTTGGTACAGTTATATTGAATTATAACACAGTTTAAGTTATATACATGCATTTACAAATGAGTAATCATATACCTTTTTTTCTTGGTTACACATCGAAATAAATTAATTTTTTTCACATACTACCATTCGCCGAAAATATAAATTAACAAGATATATCGAAAACTCTTTTTTTGTTTGTCAATTATCCTGTGTTTTAATAAATGCATGTATATAATTCAATCGGCATGTTTCGGTATATTTTCCGTAAAAACGAACATTTTTATAGTTGATCAAAATTTACAGCTATTTATAATTAAACGTTTAATTCATAAGCCGAAAAGAGTCTGATATATATATTTTACCCATCTGTACTGTCAGACACGAGTGGGATGTCGTGTGGACAAAATTCATTTGAATCTATAATGTAAGAAAATAAAGATATTTATACATGATTTTTCGCATCTGATGTAATCTAATGTCATAAATGCAATAGTATGGCTGCAGCAAATAATTAGGAAAACCTTCAAATTAAGATAATTAAATAAAAATAAAATAAAGAAAAATTAATTAGAGAATCGATCCATTATGACAAAGGAATGGCAAAGACAATCTATATTTTGTAGCCAGTCACTTTGTCGTTTTTCTTCGATCTTTTTATCTCATTTTCAAGATTTCCATATCGTTTTATATTTCTTAGTATGTAATTATACCAAGCAAAAAAATGTAGTGAAACGAAATATTGCTCCAAAAAAAGTATATTAATAATCATGAGATTTCGGTCAATTTTAATCTGAACTCCATTTATGGAAAGCATACGTTATACTACCTGAATATTGAATTGTATACATAAATAGGTATTATAAAATATCTATTTTTTTATGAAATATTATTTGGATATATACGATGAGCTTGATATTGCCGCTGCGTGGACATATATGAATAAAATGTTAATAAAAGAAAATATATAATGAGATATGATAACGCTATATCTATGCAAATATCGACATTTATGCTAGTCTTAGTCTTTTCGAAACAAAATTATAAGTTTTTATTTTTAATATAATAATAATGCTGTGAGAGAGATAATAAAAGTATAATCATAATAGTAATAATAATATAATAGATAATATAATATAATATAATAATAATAATAATAATATAGATAATATTCAACATATATATCATAAAAGCTTCCAACCACAGAGCACGCTAAGTTAGTACATGTATGTATACATGGTTTCTTTATAAATAATAACAATATATTTTGGATGCGTTGCCGAGCGGTGTAATATTTCTTTCTTTTTGTTTTGTTTCCAAAATTCTATTTAAATATAACTTCTTCCCTACATCAATGTCTGTTTTCTCTTTCTCTTCTTTTTTGCACACGCGCGTTCTTGTTCTAATCTCTCTAATGATAAGCAACTAATTCTTCCATTTAATCGATGTCTTTGGTACATTAACATCGGGCAGCATGCTATCACATGCTATGGAAGTTTGGTATATCAGATGAGGATACTCATCACATTGTCTGCTGCCATAAAGTGCGCTTCAAATATGCTTCCGAGTTCTCGAACATTACACGGACAAGATTGTTATTTCTAAGAGCTCAATGTGCGAGAAATGGTGACGCGAAATAAATATCAGGATATTTCGATTTTATCAGGGAAATTCTGAATAAAATTCCAAGATCGATAGTATCATGTGTATGCATATAAAGAGAGAGAGAATAAGGAATTAATAAAACTATAAAAATGTTGATGACGTTTTTGCGTATATATATATATATAGATCGAACGGAAAATTCATGCAGTTTTTTCGATCTTTATCTGTTAGCAAAAAACGGCACGAGCTTTCCGTTCAACCCAGCCCAATATATATAGTGTGATTAATATAATTATATCTGATAGATATCATAATATAGCGTGAGCAATATTATATATTATTATTGCAAATTGAGTGACAATATTTGAGAAAAATAAGAAACTAGACTTTACTCGGTATATTGTTTCTTGGCGGTTTTGCAGGATTTGTGCTACGATCATTTACTGAAATATATGATTTTTTAAGGAAGAAGTACTATATATATATATATATATTCATTAGATTTTTGTGCAAGTTTTAGATTGAATCGTGACTTTAGAAATAATTTTATGTATGCGTGTGGTGCGTCTGAATTTATAGGAATGAAAAATTTTTAATAATTTTAATTGGCGAATGTATCTTTTCGTCTTGCCATAAAAATCATACGATATCGTTTAACAGTAATTATTTCTCTGTAATTAACATGGTATAATTTAAATAATGTTATTTATCCAGATTATTATGAAATAGTTGTAAAACTATCGCAAAGAAAATGGCATTTGTGTCATTTTTTTGGATGACACTTTGGTGTTGTTATTTTACATGTATTTCATGTAATATAGTCTTTTTCGCGCGCGGAATACAATACGCGATGCTGTCTTATGTGCTAAAATGCCAAATCATTGGTACATTAATTGATCATGTTACGTATACTCTTTTGAAATTGCTTATTATAATACTTCGTATGATCGCTGATAACGATAATGTACACGATATAAAAATGACGCTCTCTCTCTCTTTCTTGTTTGACTAATTTGGCCGAGTCAGAAAAAAGCCTTAAATGAGAAAAAAGGCCAATTAACCAAAATTGGATGACACGAAAGAAACAAAAGCATCAGGCAAATGTAAAACAAAAAAAAAAACAAAAACAAAAAAAGACCGCGCGCGCACACGATTGTTTTTAAATTATAATAGGAGTTATAAAATGTTAAAAAGAACGAATAATTTTTCAACAATGAAAACTACCATGATTCATTAAATATAGTCATTGGCAAATTTCTATAGAACAAATCGCAACTTGTGACTTGCATTAATCCATATATACACACAACATATTACATATATATATTTTTTTGAGACCTTAAATATATTTCAGATATATTATATTTTATGCTATGGAAACGTATACATCATTTTGAGTAATATTTTGACAGTTATTTTACATGGATACTAATTTTGTTATATATTCGTTCTTTTTTAACAAGCTTCTTATACACACATATTTTAGAAATTTGTACTTTTGTGACTCTATTATTGTTTTATTGGTAAAAAATTATTTGTTCGAATATAAATGTAAGATTTCTAATACAAATTTTTCTTTGTATATATAAATATCGCCGAGATCTTTAATTTATTAAGACAACTTATTAAAATACTTATTGAGTACTCTGTGCGAAAAGTTTCTTTTTTTTCTATAAATAATCTACATGTTTGTCCTTGTATTGGAGGCACGAAAGAGATGTTTATTTTGTAAGCAACAATGTGTCTTTTTAATGTAACAATAATATGTATATTCCCCTCTCAAGAGAAAATCGTACGACCATTTTCTCGCAGCATATACTGTTTCTAACGATGAAATTAATTTGTACAGATATATGTGTATATATAATCTATGTTCATTAAATCTGCAGTAACCAATTATCATATTGAATCTGGAAGGAAATGTAATATATGCATTTGTATTTAGGACATTTGTGGTTTTATCTAGCTGCATACATTGACTGTACTAATTGCATGATATTGATATGTTACAGCAAATATTTTACTAATAAATCCTTTATAATTAGTTTCAAGCGCGCGCTCAAATTAAAAACAGACAGTTTTGTTCTTTCGTATCATCCGCTAGTTTTATCTGATAAATGTGTTTTATGTTTGAATGTGACACATTACGCATTCCATTCTCAACATTCGTATCGATACTGCAATTTCACACATTCCTCCTTGAACAAGTCCTTAGTGATTAGTTTTATTGATACACATTGAACTAAGAATAACTTCTAATAATAATTAATTGTCATAATAATTAATTATATTAATAAAGAATATA